CTATCCAGTCAGCTTAAACATAATACCACTAAAACAGGAGGACCAGGATCCGTTTTTGATGTTTATTTGAGGTGATATTCTTTTGTAAAACCGCAAAATACAGAAATAACATATGGAAATTACATAGTGTACATGAAAAGGTAAATATAAAGCACTAAACAAAAGGTATGCTAACAGGTAGCTATATTAGGGTGACCATATTTTTATTTGATTTTGACACTCGGCCCGGCCACTCGCAGTTTACTCAAAGATGCCTTATAATTTTAATATATTTAAAGTTTATATGTATGGATAGAATATTCAGTTATATTACAAAATAATATCTCTCAAAGACAGAAATTCAGATAGGCCCCTATAGATAGGGGACACATGCACACACACTAGAGTTTGGCTACCCAATCCGAGCCCGATGGGTCCCGACAGGTCGGGCCGGGTTCGGTCAAAAATGTATAAATTGTATTCGGGCTCGGGTCGGATTCGGTCAGCTTTCAGTGAAAATGTAGTGTAAAAATAAATAAAATCCTATTGTATGTCCTGTTTATTGCTTGGGGACTGTTATTTACGTGACAACACCTGAACAGAACACACACACACACATTGGCATTGGTTTGTTTCCACCTCTCCCCTCGCCTCGGACCTCCCACCGCCCGCCTCCGCCTTGATTAAAAGAGCAGATATGTTGCTGTAGAAGACAAAAAAATAATAATTTAAATTCAGCTGGAATTTCTTTTTGCTTTATCTCAGAGTGTTAGCATTGAGTCTCGACATGTTAACATTAAGGCCAGAAACTCCTAATGAATCCAAATGATCAGATCATGCTGATCTGTAACTGCTGGATGTGGAAATAAAGTTCAACCTGTCAGCTTAAAAGGTGACAATTATGTTAATGTTCATAACCTGTTTCTGCTGAAAAGAAGATTCAATGAACCTTCATGCAGCCCGCTGAATGAGAAATGTTCTCGCAGTCCACTTGTCTAAACAAGTACAAGAGGTCACACACACAACTTTCAGTGTGTGTCTGAGGGAAACTCCCGTCTCATCTTATCACACCATCACCTGCTTTTATAAGTATGTGTGTGTGTGTGTGTGTGTGTGGGTGTGGGTGTGTGGGTGGGTGTGTGTGTGTGTGTCATACCTGCTAAGCTGTGGATTAGTGGAGCTGGCATTGACCAGTATGACCTGTATGTTGACAGCTGGAAAAACCCTAAACTTTGTGTCCGTCTCACACACTCAGATGAGATGTTGGTTTTGTTCCAGAAGTTTTAAATGTGTGTGCTGACATGATACCTCAGCTACGCTACACCATCTTTAACACATCATTTTTTCTGTCATCGAGTCCTAAAATCTGACCCACGGAGAATCAATGTCTCAACTCAACAACAGCTAAAATCTCTCTTGGCTCCTGGATTAATGAGAGAAAATGAATGAATGAATGAAGCGCCAGAATCGGCCCAGACTCCAGGTGATGACATAGGGCCAAAGCTGTTCTGAGTGCTAATTCTGAAACCAGAAATCCAAAACCAACTCAACACAATCAGAGCTGACTCCTAGTCAGTCTAGGGCTGTACTTCATGGCTATTTCCATTAGTGCTTCAGCAGCAAGCATCGCTGTGAGCCCCAATGATTTTGTTCTCGTTCTTTCTTTCTTCCTTCTTCTTCTTATTTTTCTCTGACAAATATTGTTCTTGCTGAAGAAACTGTAAGACGTAAAGTCACCTTAATTGGCAGTTAGGTTCCAAATTCCAGCCACTACTCAGACACAAAAGTGACTCTCATTGACCTCAGGGCAGCGCTGTAACAATCAAGTTTACACTTTCACAATTATCTCAAACAGCGTGACTTACAGTCAAAATTCTTTAATCATCTCAGTCTCTCAAGTCATCTACATCTTTGCTTTGATGGTCTTCAGCTTTAAAAATGTAAATTTTTTATCAGTTTCTCCAAAATCCTATTTTCGACGTCCTGTCAGGAACTAGGGGTCATCCCCAACCTGAGTCAGCCATGTTTGAAGGTTACTGTTCAAACATATGGCACTACAGATTACTGAATATATGCCCTAAAATATAATTTGTAACATAATCCATGAGATTACTCAAAATAAATAATGTTTCTACAGTAGCCCAGAAAAGACAAACCCAACACTAGCTCTAGATAGGGACATTCATGTTTGTGTGTTGGCCACAGTAGTAAGAGGCTCCTTCATGGCAAGCAGCGTTAGAAAAACACCATTTTTTAGATATGAAACTGCTTTATTAGTTTTACTGGTTTAAATCACCTGGTCCGTTTGTTTTGGAGAGGTAGAGACCTCTGTGGATAATTCAGCTCCCAGTAAAAATCTCCTGAACAATGAACGCCGAAGGAATTTGCAATTCTCACCACTAAATGCCACTAAATCCTCCTAAATCTGACACAGTTATTTTGATTTTTCAGTCTATAAAATGTCAAGAAAACAATGAAGAATACTCATCACAACTTTAGATATCTTGGTTTATGAAATGTAGAAGAGATAACAGTAGCTACTCTCCTGTACTGTGTGTTTGTACTGTAGGACTCCATCACAGAGGAGGTGGTGGAGCTGCTCGCTCCCTACCTGGAGATGGATGACTACAACCTGGAGTCTGCCAAGAGGATCTGCGGCAACGTGGCAGGACTCTGCTCCTGGACTCAGGCAATGGTCGACTTCTTCGCTATCAACAAGGAGGTGCTGCCTCTGAAGGTACACACACAGAGGAGTTCAGTATTTACTCCGGCGATATATTAGATAAGATCTTATGCTAACAGGTGTCGTAGAAATAAAGATTCTGATTAGCTGTTCAGCCTCATAATACAAGGATTAATTAGATGAGTGTGTGCAGGCTAACCTGGCCCTGCAAGAGGCTCGTCTGGTGGTTGCTCAGAATGAACTCGCTAAAGCTCAGGAACAGCTGGACGCTAAACAGCAGGAGCTGGACGCCGTACAGGTAACACACACACACACACACACACACACACACACAGTCAAGTTAAAGCTTGCGTTTGTGAAACCGAACCATAGATTTCATTTTTGATATTTTTTCAAAGTTATTTTAAAATACATTTCAACTCCTTGCATTTGTATTTTCTCTTCCTTTTACATTCATAGTAGATTTTTAGTAGTCTGTTTAAATCATTTATATACATGTATTAAATAATATGATCCGACCTGAACTTTAGGCGCTTTATGACGCTGCCATGAAGGAAAAGCAGGACCTAGAGGACGACGCCCAGGCCTGCCGCCGCAAGATGGCCAATGCTACAGCTCTGATCGATGGACTGGGAGGAGAGAAGGTCAGCCTTTATCATCCATCCATCCATCCATGCATCCATCCAGCCATGCATCCATCTAACCTTTCATCCCTCCCTCCCTCTCTCTCCTGGTCTTGTGTTTCAGGTTCGTTGGACCGACAGCAGTGCTGGGTTCCAGACTCAGATCAAACACCTTGTTGGGGATGTCCTTCTGTCCGCAGGTTTCTTGTCGTATGCTGGGCCCTTTAACCAGGAGTACCGCAGCTTGCTTCTAGAGCTGTGGAAGAAAGAGATAGAGGACAAGCTCATCCCCTTCAGTCCTGTAAGACTTGACAACTCACTGAGAGTTAACCTGCTTTGTTTTCAAACAGTTAAAGGAGACCCATTATCCTTATTTTCAGGGTCATATTGATATAAATATGTAGGGCTCTAGTTTCCCGGCGCAGCGCAGGGTGGCACAGGGTGGTGAACCCCACGCAGAGATAGTTTCGAGCAGCGCAACCCAAGGCACGCTCAGTTTGGTAGTTTGGCAGACCGAGGTGTGCTGAGATGGGTGTGGCGGTGCAGCAGGGGGAGGTGTCAACAGATCCAACTTGGCGCAGTGACAGTTTCGTGCCAAAAGGCTTCGCCGAAGGTGCGCTAAAAGCTCGCCAACTGAAACCACGTCTACTGTCAGCGCAGGCGGAGCGCAGCCGGTGTAAGCCGAAGTTTGGCTGACCGGCGGACAGTGCGCACACGTCACCAAAACCTCACAGGCAAGTTTCCAGAATATCAGGCACATTAACAATGCAATAAATACCAAAAAAACAAAAATCAATGCAACTATCTGCAATCAGCACATACATGTATCTCTATATCGACTGTCCCGTCACATATCGTGTCAGATCAAAGGGGATTGGCACCGTTTGGCACGTTTGGCACGCGTAATGGAAACCCAACCTGATTTGATTAACACAGCTGCAAACTAATGAGTTCACATCCCTCTCAGCCAACCACAAACAGCCACAGCATCAGATAGGGAGTATATATTCAGCATCTGTCATCTTAGAAAAGCCAAAAGAAAAGAAACCGAGTGAGACTGCGAGAGAGAGCGCACAAGAGAAACACAACATTGATTTACAGTTGTGGTGACCTCCTCCCAGGCTACCTTTGCATCATCAGCCAATGGAGGTCTGCTCACAGTTCCGTATATTCGGACACTGCGAGCTTGGACCTCCCGGACCAAAACATCAGTTTCCTCCTGGGAGAAGTTTGGCCATCTGACGCTGCTGCTTTCTTCCGCCATGGCGAATTGAGTAAACTCTCATTACGCCTTCGCGCGGCGCATTTAAGGGCGAGGAGAGGGGCTCATTTGATTGGTGTGATGTATGTAAAACCCACTCCACGCCTTCTCTCCTCCCTCTTTCCGACTTGCGCCGATAGGAGGGACGGAGGTGGGATAGAGGAGTAGCTGTGCCAGGGCACACAGTGTGCCAAACTTACAAAATCCGCCTGGCCACACCCAGTTGGTGAAGCGCAGGTGCGCTGCACCCCCACCGCGCCCGGTCTGCGAAACTAGAGCCCATAATATTGGGGTCTAGTGTAATAGATTTATGTGCTTTAATGTTCAAAGCACACATATGTCTTGTACTGCTCATTGCTGCAGCACCTCTTGCCTCCCCAGCAGCCTAGTCTGTTCTGATTGGTCAGCTCGCTTAGTCTGTTGTGATTGGTCCAATGCTTAGAGCGTGTATCGGAAACGTCACACCCCTTACCTTATCTGACTTCACCTCCGGAGGCTGGTGCAAACAACAAGCTATGGCTAAGCTAACGACGGCGGCCATCCACCACTATCAATTTGAGTGAAGAAACACAAGCCGATAGACTCTGAAGCACTTTCACAACAAAAGCAGGACGTTTCACAGTGGTAAGTTTTTTATTTTTTAGCCTCCTTATATTTCAACTGTAACATGACAACTGAAACTTTCTGACGTTATGGTAACAACTGTATGTGTGTCCTCTGACTGAATGAAGTTGGAAAAGAAGTCTGCTGCAGAGTACAACAGGTTTCTAACAATATAGTCAGTTACTACATAACGTGGAAACACCAACAGCAGCACTCACCTGTTACATGCAGTGTTGTAAAGCATGATTCCTTTTTTTATCTAAGCAGCCGTATCTATGATCAGACTAATGTAGCTTGTGTTGGATAATAATATCAAAGTTATTATAAATTCTGCTACGAACACATTCCCCATTAAAACCACAAAAATTTTAACCCGTGAATTCATCAGTTTTACCACAACAGATTGAGATGACAGATTTCTGTATTATAAAAACAAATGAACATAAATAACTGGTACATTCAGATGTCTTAGCTGTCATGTTTACTGAAACCATTCTACTAAAATGTAGCTGCATTTTATAATCATCTTTACCTTGTGTTTGTAATCTACAATATGTACGATGTACCAATGTATCACAGTTTCTCCACAGCATTTATATGAAATCAAAGTTTCATAGTAAAATGCATGTTGCTTCCTGGATCAGTATTTGTTCTATGCAGTGATGTTGTCTCCTGAGTCTATATTTGCTTACTTCTAAAACAGTATGCCTTGTGTCTTTTTTTACCTATTAGGTTTTGGGGTAATGGACCAGGTTCCAGTTCATCCTACATGTTTGATACACCATGCAGGCGTGGTGAATCTGTACACCCCACAGAACATCCACAACTGTGTAAACTTGATTCTGAAAACTAAGGTTTCATTATACCAAAAAAACCCACAAATGACAAATAAGTCTTTTGTCAAAAGAACTTTATTTTTTAGCAAATGTAAAAAACAAAACCACAAAAAATGTACTAAATAATATACAATAGATAGATATATAAATATAAACACAGCAGTGTTTTATCTGCAACACTAATAGTGTCCAATTCTTTCCATTCAAGCGTTCATCCCGTCCTGTGTTGGATAGAGTTTCCTGATCCGGCTGGTCACTGCATTGGCCTCGTGCTGCCCCTTGGCTGAAGTGAGAGACGTGTCAGGCAACCACTTCCTCCTTTGAGGGTCTCTCATACTGGGATGCCAGGTCCTTTGGGATGAGAATTTTGGAGAAGACAAGCCTCATCAGGTCATCTACAGTCTGTAAAATATTGAACTTAAATCTTGATTTCCTTGTGTTTTTAAATTAAGTGCTTCCCTGAATCCACCTTTCTTGTATTTCAAGTGTTGCCATAACTATTTCATTTTTTAAATATTTTTTTATTATGTTGGTAATAAAAATAAAATTATTTACAAATTTCTGCATATAGGGTCTGTTTTTTACAGCCTTTGCTGAGGGTAAAACTATACTAAAAGAATAAATTTTTTTCACCAGGGTGTTGAGTCATGAGGGGTTACTAGCTCTGTTTGAGTTCCTCCCCCTTTCCCCTGTTTCATACTTGGTTTAAAACCTATGCCCCTTTCAGGTGTTGATGACAGCTTAAAGTCCAAATGAAGTAAAAAAAAAATCCTGCTCTAACATCATAACAAAGTCAAAGGCATGTGATAATGTGATGCAGAAATATATATTCTGAAGCTTTTGGCAAACATCATTTTAGTATTGTAAAACGTTTCCAGGTACTGTATCTCAAACACAAACACACACACACACACACACATATATGTGTATGTGGGTATATATATATATATATATATATGTATACACATATACACACACACACACACACACACACATATATATATATATGTATGTATGTATGTATGTATATGTATAGTAGCCCTGTACAGGTGTGTGCTGATCCATACTACCATACTACCATATTTTGAGATGCTACAGACTGTGTGCCCACTAAGACAGTTTGTGGAGGGTCCATTTGGCATCCTACATCCTGGAATCTGGCTGTAGTTGAGAAGTGTTGGGCACCAGGGCCCTGCTGTGATGTACTCTAAAAGACAAAGGAAAAGTAAGTATCTTAAAGTGATATTGCACCAAATGAAAACAGTCAACATTAGGGATGGGTATCGTTAAGATTTTATTGATACTACTACTTTTATTGATACTCCTTTAGATCGATTTGGTACTTTATCAGTACTCTTATCGGTTCTTTTTCATTTCTAAATAATTGCTTTTTACAAAATATATTAATTTGAAAAGAATAAATTCAGAACAGGATAACTGAATATTTGAAATATAACTAAATGTTTCCAGAGCAGCAACAGTAATTTTTACAACAGCAACATCGCTATATAAATAATATTCCTGACATCACAATACTGTGTGAAGTTTAGTTTTTATCAGTTAATATATCTTTAAAAAAAAGTATCTGCACAATTTTAGGGTAAGTGTCAAACTAAGTTAGTCTACATACAGACAGGTGTCATTTGAGCTTATTAGTAAGAATTCGTTTTCAGCCGAACTGGCGTGCTGTCTAAATCAGTGTGTAAAACATAACGTTAGTGTCGGTGGATGAGAGACTGTGGACAGAGCATACTGAATATGGCTGTCTACATGTTTACATGTTCATGCCTACTGAACACATGTATTAATAAATTATTGGCTTCTTACTCGCTAAGGTTTAATTGCACTTACAGTAACGAATGTAGCTGCAGTCAACTCAAGTAATTTTTGAGTTATCTTCACTTTGTTTCCACCACGGCCACTCGGCTGTTCACAGATTACCATAGGTGTATGCATGCGTGTGTGTGTGTATGTGGAGCAGTTCAGCCCCGGCACAGAGCGCAGATGAGAGGCTGTAGGATGATAATGAATTAAACCAAAATGTGTAAAAGTACCGATAAAAGAACATACAGTCAGAGCTTATCAATACTACGCTCTTTCGTAATTTAGGATTTCGGTACCCACCATAGTCAACATCTAAAACGTTAAGCAGTGTTGTACCCTCCCTGTAAAATCAGCAGACCAAACATACATATTCAAACACATGTAGAGACAGACACACACAACGTCCTTTCATCACAAATACCTCCCCAGCTCTATCACTCAGACTAACTACGTTTAGTAACAATAGCGCTTAGCTCAGGCATCACACAAAGAAACAACCTGATCTCACAGAAATACGTGAAATGACCACAATCTCTTAACACCGCATTCCGTGGTAGTGGCACGTAATGGGTTAAAATTACGTGCAGGTACCACGGAAACAATGCCAATGTAAAGTCAATTAGGATCCTTTGTAGTGGTGGACACACGGGCTGCATCCCAAGTCTCTTAAAATTACTGCTAACCACCTTATCTAGCCACCTTATCTAACTGTTTAGTCCCTCCCACTTAGGAAAACATGCAAGGAGTCAGGAGTTAGGAGTGATGAGTGAGGATTGCTGATTTGAGACATGAGACGGCCTTACTCTGAAGCGTCACGTAAAGTGACGTCCTTTTTCTAATGACAACGGCACCAAGTCACATTATATTTGCTGATCAAAGCCGTAACCCCCACCCCCTGCCATCATGACTTTGGTCACACACTTTTGCATGTGTTACCATTGTTATTGAGTCATTTGCCGAAGTTTGGCGCAATTAAAGAACGGTCTGTAGCCCTGCCACTGTCACTGTGATGAGCATCATTATCATTATTATCATCATCATTATTATCACTATTATTAAATCCACTTGCCATCATTCAACAAGTCAGTTGCTGAGTGAATAAGACATATATCAGACCTGTCAGTCTACCTCAATCAATCAATTTTATTTATAAAGCCCAATATCACAAATCACAATTTGCCTCACAGGGCTTTACAGCATACGACATCCCTCTGTCCTAAGGACCCTCACAGCTGATCAGGAAAAACTCCCCAAAAACCCTTTAACGGGGAAAAAAACAGTAGAAACCTCAGGAAGAGCAACTGAGGAGGGATCCCTCTTCCAGGACGGACAGACGTGCAATAGATGTCGTACAGAACAGATCAGCATGATAAATTAACAGTAATACGTATGACACAATGAGACAGACAAAGAGACAGAGAGAGAGAGAGAGAGAGAGAGAGAGATGCAGGACAGACGGTAATGACAGTAGCTTACAGCAACATTAATGAAAGTAATAATATTAATTAATATTAATAGGCTATTTAATATTACCTACAGGCTATTAAACATTCCACTCACATGACATGCAGGACAATTAATGATGGGCAAATGTGTGTGTGTGTGTGTGTGTGTGTGTGTGTGTGTGTGCATGTGCGCGTTTGTGTGTGTGTGTGTGTGCATGCGTGCGTGGTGTTATATCAACACGTGTGGTTCTGGAAATGAGCAGCTGCACATTTAACAGCTACACATCACAGACAGTCCGCTGAACAACGCAACGGGTTGTGAATGAAATAAACTTAATTACAACATGACAGTCTTGCACGAAATAATATCAACGTTACTCTTTGTAGTCACGTAGGCATGTGAATTACAGCGTTTCATTGCAAAGAATGCATGTAACGGGTACACTTGCGCTGTTTCTCCGCCATCTCGTTCAAATGAGCCAGACGAAGGGGGCGGGTATTTATACATAAAAGCCTAAAGCTGAAAAAGACTTCCTGTTAGGAACCTCTCGTGTTACCTTACTCATCGCACCTAACAGATCCCTCCTAACTCCTAACGCTAACTCCTTACTGGCAGGAATAAGAGACATGAGACGGCCTTAAAGATGGCGGACCTCAAACGACTTCCGGTTCAAGTCAGGAGTTTGGAGTTAGCAGTATAAAATAAGAGACTTGGGATGCAGCCACGGATTCCCTGGTTCAACAACGTCATGTCAACGTTGTTTTCCTCAATGATATCTTAAACATTTCTGTATACACACAAAAACACGGAAGTATCCTAGATAACTCAACAATATGATGTTAATATGATGGTTAATGTCAAGGCCTTACAATAAAATAAATGTATTTTGCCAGCTTTTGATAGCATAGGGCTATAAGAGCATTGTGCTGTTTTGTACTGTCTGTCTTCTGTGGGCTTCATCCATTTCAAATTGCCATCCGTCTGCCGCAACTGAATCCAAACACCACTATCTCTGTTAAGAAAAGTTTGTGTGTGTGTGTGTGTGTGTGTGTGTGTGTGTGTGTGTGTGTGTGTGTGCATCAAATCTTGTACCATGGCAACATGAACAGGATGAAGACGGGATGATCAAACTGGACTTTACATTTCACATCCCTCATTTAATCTCTGCACTTGTCCCTTTAATATTATTTCATCAAACTGGACTTTGTTTGGAGTTTGTGCATTGCATTCAGCTTCCACTGTTACACAATTTAATTATTTATGCACATTGTTGCTCTTGTCACCGTCATATATTTCATACACTTCATTTCTTTGTCCAAAGCGCAGACTGTATTTCCTTTGTGCAGTCAATATTTCATTTCACGTTTTATATACCATTTCCGGACTGTTAGGCTACTATTCCACTCTGTAAACAGATTTTGAAATTTCAATTTAATTTTGATATTATTTTTGCTTACTTCATTATTGTTATTATTGATTTTTATTCTTCTGTGTTGCATGTTTTTGGGAGCAGACACCAAGACACATTCTTTGTATGCTTGCATTGGCTAATATACAGATTCTGATTGAATGTATGTCATGCTGACATAAAATCCCAAAACCAAGAATCAATAAAGATACAAAAAAATCTCCAGGGTTGTGTAAATAGTAACCAATGCGTGAATGAGAATGGGTTGGTCATGTCAGCCCTAACCATAACCCAAGCACTTTATACCCTCCTCCATTGTCAGTAGTATTGTATTCTCTGAGGATGACTCATTTTAGTAACTATTTACAGTAAAAAAGAAAAAAACAAACAAAAAATCATTTTATACACTGGGCCTATAAAGTGCCCTCTGAAACTACACCTGGCATGGCTTGTGTCCAAAAAAAAAAAAAAAAAATCAAAACTTGTCGTAGAGCTAAACCACCAACCAAAATGATAATACATCATTGGAAAGGCCTCAACCTGGAGAGTAACATATGTCAGTATGAAGATTCTACATGGCTCCTGCTTTAAATTACTGACCTTTGAACCTTGACCTCAGTGCATGTTTGAAGGCTTATAATTCAGCAACAAAAGGGGGTACAGACATGGGACCAATTGTTATAGAGAGCTCTTGACCTCAACTATCATGTGAGTGTAGTCACCAACTGGGGGTGCTGTCAGATATGGGTAAAATATGGATAAAATTCATTTTCACCCATTTAAAAATTAGATATTTAAAATCTGATTACACAAATGTGTTTACCATCCCCTTAAAGTCCCCCTTAAAGTAGTTCTTCTGATTTGCAAAATAGGGTTCTAAATAGGGTT